ACTTCGACGGTGGAGCTATTGTGGCCGGCCTTCAAATCGTCGAGTAATAGGGGGGGGGGGGGGGAGGTCACCATAACAGTCGCTGAAAAAGTATGGATGCAAGTGATTGAGAGGAATGAACTAATGACTTTTTGGGTCAGGAAACTTACTTTTATATAATGAAGGATTCAAGAGAAGATTCAATGAATGATAGATCGTGTGAGTAGTGGAAAATTGGTGTTAATATGATCAATGGGAATGCATGAATCTATCCGACTTCCGTAAGGGTTACGAAATTCAATAAAGAGTAGAAGTAGTCGGTTACTTACATAAACCTCAAAAAACTCCATAGTTGCTAACCTCATCGGAGATATACAAAGAACCTTTTGTTTACAGTTTCCAGCCCAAATAACACAAATCAAAGATCACAAAATCTGCACTCGTGAAGCCCATGATTAACACAAACCAAAATTAACAAAGTCATAAGAAAAACACCACGTGTCATTCTCTCATTTCCTTATTTGATGACATGGCAAACTATACGTTATATAGATAAATAGATAGATTTGTGGAACCACCAAGATTCTGTCGTTTTAGTGAAACTCTGCTTCTGTCACCGTGTTCTGCTCAATAGCTCACAAGCCCTAGTTTCGTCAAATCCTCATCGTCTCTCCAATACATTACCTTCTCATGTACACTCTGATTCTCCATGGAAGAAGGGTTATCGAGCTACTTAAACGGCGTAACTTGAGAATTTCACTGACCCTTCTTCAAAACACATCCTTCTCCTCTTCTCCAGATGTAATCCCTCGAAAAGGTCAGAACTTTACTGTCTCCTCTTACCTCGTTGACTCACTGGGTTTAACTAAGAAACTCGCTGACTCCCTCTCAAAGAAAGTCAATTTCGATGAAAGGGTCATCCTGATTCTGTCTTGTCTCTTCTCAGAAGCCATGGGTTCACAGACTACCCATTACTCCTTTTAGCAGATGCTGATGAATCTCTCGCTCCAAAGCTTAAGTTACTACAGAACAGAGGAGCTTCAACCTCTGAGCTCACTGAGGTTCTTTCGAAAGTCCCTAAGATTCTGAGAATCAAAAAGGACAAAGCTTTGGGAAGGTACTATGATTTCGTCAAGAGATTATAGAAGCCGACAAGAGTTCTAAGTTCGAAAGGTTGTGTCTTTCTTTGCCGCAGGGTAGTAAACAGGAGAATAAGATTAGGAATGTTTTGGTTTTGAGAGATCTTGGTGTGCCTCAGAGGTTGTTGTTCCCTTTGCTTATCTCTAGGTCAGCTCATGTTTGTGGGAAAGAGAGGTTTGAAGAGTCTTTGAAGAAGGTTATTGAGATGGGTTTTGATCCGAGAACTCCAAAGTTTGTCAAAGCTTTGCATACTGTTTATGAACTGAGTGATAAAACTATAGAAGAGAAGGTGGATGTGTACAAAAGGTTAGGCTTTGCTGTGGGAGATGTGTGGAAGATTTTTAAGAAGCATCCTTCGTTTTTGAAGTTCTCTGAGAAGAATATATCAAACTCTATGGATACGTTTCTAGGTTTGGGATTCAGTAGAGTTGAGCTTGCGGGGATGGTTAGGCGCTTTCCTCAGTGTATTGGGTTATCTGCAGAGACGGTTAAGAAGAAGAATGAGTTTTTGGTGGAGAAGATGAAGTGGCCATTAAAGTCTTTGGCTTTGTTCCCTCATGTTTTTGGATGTAGCATGGAGAAGAGGATTGTCCCAAGGTGTGAAGTAATCAAAGCTCTTATGTCTAAAGGATTGATTAGGAGTGAACTTCCTTCAGTATCTTCTGTCTTGGCGTGTACTGATTATATGTTTTTGATAAAGTATGTGAGGAAGCATGATGACAAGGAGCTTAAGGCTGAGTTAATGGCTATCTTCACCAAAGATGGTGGGGACTTATAGATCAGAAAGCTTGTCAAGCTGTGTGTGTTTTTTTTTTGTCCATTAATTTTGGATTTGTCTATGAATTTTTTGTTGCCATTCAAACTGTTGTAATCTTATCAATTGGTGTCAACTAGTTCTTTAAGTTAGCATTGAAACGTGATGATTTTTGGTTGATATGGGAAAGCAAAAGAGCACATTGCTGAATTTGTATGAGCTTTTTACACAGTTTTTAAATTTTAGATGCTAAATGAAAAACACAAATTTCTAGCCTCATGTTTGAATCTTGATCGATTAGTTTGGACCGTTTGGTTATTTACAAAGATGGAACCCATAGGCAAAAGGCGTGTTGAAGTTGGCTTTGAATCAACCACCTCGTTTTGGTGAAGCTCTACGTAATGTTCCAGGATTAGTGACAATCACAAGACAATTGAAGAAAAAGTTGAAAGTAAATAAACGTACAGTACTTTAATGTGGAAAATGTACCATCAAATTCTACTCTCTTTCATTAATGTAAAACTAGATTTTGACCCGCGGTTTGAAATTTTTTATGATTAAAAATTTATGTAATTGGATTTTGTCTTAATTTAAAGAATGTTTTGGGTTAAAATCAGTTCACCAAAATTTGAGATTATGATTGTTATTCATTAGTTTTTAATTTCAATTTTTATTTTTAGATTTTGTTTTAGATTTTGGTTTTTGCGTTTTAGTTTTTAAGTTTCTATTTTTGATTTTCAGCTTTTGGTTTGTTTTTTTTAATTTTTTGACCCGCTGAATTAGTTTGAACTGATATTACTAACAAACAAATCCCTAATAATCGAACATCTAATTTAAAACTGAAAAGATGACAAAAATATTTTTAATGAAATTTGCAATAGTTTATTTTGTAAATAAATAAAAGCAAAAAAATATAATCTGTTTTTCAGTTTTTGGTTTTGAATTTTAGTTTTTAGATTTAGTTTTGGTTTTGCTTTACATTTTTTTTAAATCAGTAAATTATTTAAGAGAAATAAAACAATAAATTATTTAAAAGTTACTATTGAAATTTATCAAAACAAAGTGATTGTTATTTAAAATAAAAAAATACATTAACATGTTTTAAATTACATGATTTAAATACATAATTAATAACAAACAATTTTGTTTTGTTTAAAAATAGTAAATACCTTTTGGGCTTAAAAATAATAAATATTTTGATCCATTAAACTTAATAGGGTTAATGTATTCTTATGAACTTCTTTTGATCCATTAAAGTGAAAAGTTTATTCAATATTTTTTGGAGTTTTTCCTTAATTCTAAGCCCAAAATCCAAACCATATAATTTGTTCTAAATAAGTCCAAGACTATATCCCATAAATAATCATCGGTTTAATTTAAGTAATGCGGTTCAACTAACTATATGACTTGTATTATTTGTAACACTCTAGAAATAGTCCAAATTTAAATGATAACTTGTATCAGTAGATAAAAAAAGGACTCTATTTTAATAGAATAGATACTTTGCCTAAAAACATAGATTAAAAAATTATTTTTCTGCAAAAATATTATTAAAATTATTTATTAAAAATTATTAACCTATAATAAAAAGACTAAAATGTAGTCGGTTAGATAGTTGTTAATAAATTTAAAATTAACTTAAAATATCAAAATATTTTACATTTTGGAACACCAAAAACTTTTCTAAAACATCATTTATAATGAAAAAGACAAGAGTATAATTAAAATTTGATCAATCTTATTATATAAAATGTAGTTTCTCAAAATTTCCAATTAAAATGACCGCAACACATGTCAATAAAAAAAAATTAAGATTGTGTCAAATGTTAAAAAATAATCTATGAATATACCTAGAATTTAGGGCTTCTTGCTAAAATGACCTAAAAGTCTTGGTCAAATGTAAAAGTAATATCCATCATTTTTAATTTTTGAATTGTCCTATTCACCTCATAAATTCAAGATATTTATGAAAATGACATTATTATCTACTATAATCTATATTATTAAAACTGAAGTACATTTAAGAGTTGTTTGGAAACATATATAGCATTTAATAAAAAGAATATATTGTTGTTTGGCAACATGGATTGCAGTATATTAAAAAAAAATGGGCTTAGTTATTAAAAAAAATTGAAAATTCTATAATAAATTATCTATTTGGGTCAGTTTTACAATATATGCAAATGGGCCAATCTAATTATCTAAAAACATCATTTGTTTTATATAATCAGAATACAAAAATTAAACTTTATATATATATATATATTTCAAATCAAAAGAATAATTTAAAATTAATTTATATCCAAATTTGATTCTAAAATATACATATATTCAAAAATTAATTTTTACTAAAATATTTTTCAATAGTGATTATAAAAAAAAGTTTTCAATATATATAAGAAAAATACAATACAAGCCCAATTTCAAACACCAATTTATATTGTGGTTTTTATATTTCACAAAAAAAATTAAAATATAATATATGTGATTTATATTAAATTTGTGAATTTGACTCTTTACACATGGTCCACTCGGAAGGTAAAGATCAACAGATTTGAAACTGCAGGTGCGGATTTAGTATATTTTATGCGGAGTGGGTGTGGATCGGTCGAACTTAAACTGCGGATACCCATCAATCCTCAAAAATATTTTTTTTTAATTCTATTTTATAAATGGTTTTATTTTTAAAATAATTAAAAATTATGAATATAAAAAAGGATAATTAGAATATATTATTTTAGTTTTAATAAAATAAAAAATAATTATTTTAATGTTATTCGTGGATCTTTTGGTTATCCATAAATTTAAACGAAGTGGGTGCAAGTATATGTTTTTCTACTTGCGGGTCAAGTGGATCAATGTTTTGAATCAAAAGAATGATTCAACACGCAGCAAAGCGGATCGATCCGCAAATTCAACCCTAATTTATATGGTGGTTCGTATAAAATACTATTAATTATATGATTACTTATATAATAACACATATAAAATAATATTCAATTATATAATATATAATAATGATATAAAAATAATAATAATAATATATTTTTCAAAAACTATACCCGTGCGGACGCACGGGTCAAAATCTAGTATCTTATTAAAACAGAAGTACCAATAAAATATACCTCTTAGTTTTTCAAGTTATCTACACAATGCCATTATATTTATTAATAATCCTAATTTTTAGTAATGTTGTCTTTTTCAGTTAATTTAATACATTTCTTAAATTGTTTATTAATTTTTAAAACAAAATCATTTCTGGATATCCCCTAGATTTTCTCATATAACAGTTTATGCTACTGATTTTTTTTTTCTAAAAATATAGTAGTTTAAATATGAAAATATTAGAAATGCATAATAACTATAATTTACATATTCAATCACGTTGGACCATTTAATAACATATAGTCAACGTTTTTAAATACTGATTTCAGTTATCATTGATGCTTAAAAATGTCATATTAAACAAGAATTTAATACATATGTATATTAAAATTATATATTATTATATATAAAATAAATATATATATTTGCAAAAAAGTAAAAATAAACCCGCACGGGTGTGCGGGTCAAGCTCTAGTTAAAAGTTAAAAGTTCTAATTCTAGTGTTTTTATCCTCTCTACATGGACATATTTAATCAGCCAATAGGGTATTTTATATACGGCCACATCAGCGCCAACAAGAATAGATTCTGTTTCGAATGGGCTCATTTACTCTGGGCTTTGAACAACATTTGCGGCCCAAAAGCGAAACTGCCAGGCTCACTTTCCATCAACGTCGTATTGTGTTAGGTCATGTTCTATGCCTCTCTCATCTTCCCCATTCATCTTCTCTCTATCTCTTTCGCGAATCTTCTCTGTTTCTTCGTCGATTGATTTTCTCAACCGAAGTCGATCAATCGACAACCCTCCATCACTCCATTTATGTGCAATGGATCCATCATTTATGACTTCCTTTCATTTTCACTTTAAACTCTCTGATTCTCTTTATATCTCTTCTTCTCAAAATTGTCTAACTCAATCGATTTTTCAAGGGAACACATTCTTCAGCTTCTTCTCGAATCTGCTTTGTCAACCAAAACGTAGGCTTCCTTCAACGAAGGAGGAGGATCCATGCTCATTATCTGAGTTCTCACAAACCCATAAGAAACTCGTAACGCTCCTCCTTCTTCCTCGCCTCCTCGGCACGTTTGTTGATCTCTCATAATAACGCCCTTCCTTTATAGTAGTTATTGCTCCAGCCGTGGAACATCAACCTATGATGGTTTTGGTTAGTTTTAACTGCAACATCTCTTCTTTTATTTTGGATTTTAAATTAATTTTCTGTATTGTGTTGTTGCTTTTATGTCAGGTCTATGTGAGAAGAGTTTTGGATCCAAGAAAGTCTCAGGTTATTGCTTTTCTACTAACTACACTTGATCTCACTACAAAAGATGTTTCCCATGCCCTTCGAGATGGTATATCATCAGTTTTTACAAAGGTTTTTTATTTGTATTGAGTTAAATCTGAGGTTGGTATTGCTTCTTTTGAATCAGGTCACTATGAAGCGCTTGGATTTGAGCTTCTTGAGAGTTTATTAGGAGTGGCACCGAGTGAAGAGGAAGAGAGGAAGTTGAAGAGCTGTAGTGATGATGAGGAATCAGTGATCAAGCTTGCCCCATCAGAGAGGTTTCTCAAGGAACTACTTAATGTGCCTTTTGTGTTCAAAAGGGTTGATGCATTGCTCTTTGTTGCTTCTTTTGATTCCAAGGCTGAACTCTTGAAACGATCCTTTGGGGTTATACAGGTATGAGAGAGACATAAGAATGTGTATGTTGCTCTTAACTTATGTCTCATAAAGCTATTTGTTTCTATTGCAGGCTGCTTGTGAGGAACTACGGAACAGCAAAATGCTATTGAAGCTTATTGAAGTTGTCTTAGAGACAGGAATGAAGAGCGTGAATGCTCATGACTTCAAACTTGAGGCGTTGTTAGATGGTGGAACCAGTCTCTTGCATTCTGTTGTACAGAACATTATAGAATCAGAAGGTATCAAAGTGTTGTAAGTTGTCAGAGATCTCAGTTTATCACTTTTAGATGTCAAGAAAACTGCAGAAATGGACTATGGTGTTCTGAGAAGCTACGTGGCAGAGCTTTATCAAGGAGTCCAGAGAGTTCAGGAGGTTCTGCTACTGAGTGATGAAGAACAAGAATGCAGGGAATTCAAGAACTCGGTGACCAAGTTCCTGGAAACCGCTGTGAAGGAGACTAAAAAGATTGAAACAGAAGATGGTTCAACGCTCTTTGCAGTGAAAGAGATCACAGAGATATTCCATGGAGATTCAGCAATGGAAGAAGCTCAGCTATTGAGAGTATTCGTGATCGTGAGAGACTTTCTGTCAATTCTAGAAAAAGCATGCAAAGAAATGGAGATGAACTGAGAAAAGAGTACTCTGGCTTAGGTTTCAAGTGCAAGGAAGATCCTAGAATCTGTCCAAAGACTGATGATGATGCATTGTGTTGCCTCCTTAATTAGTTATGTACTTATGTTTGTATGAATCGTTGGTTCTTAAGTGAAACTTTACTTGATTTCTCTATCAAAGCAAATATCTCAATGGATTTACTTTACATAACAGAAAAAAGCAAGAAAGATAATACTTCCGTTTCATCTTAATTGTCATTCTATATTTTTACACACAGATTAAGAAAACATTTAATTTTACATATTTTCAAGATAAAAACACAATTACCTATACACATAACCACTTTTCAACCAATACAAAAATAAAATATCATATAAAACTAATAAATTTTGCTTCGAAACTCTAAAACGACACTTATTTTGAAACGGATTTTTTTCTCTAGAATGACAATAATTTTGAAACGGAGGGAGTACAGTTTGTGAGTTATAGTTTTCAGACCAAACCAATCTACCATCAATCAATTTAAATAAGAAGTTACATACACGGAAAACGGCTGTCTACTTCTGTGAGTCTAAGACTATACTTGCAACTGTGAACATATATGAGTGCTCTTGTGTGTCATCAATGGAACCTAAACCTATACATATTAAAGCTCATCTTTGAAACCAGGATCATTCCAAAACCATAAACTGATCTTCCCTTACGTGCTTCAATCATTAAGTGCTTGAACTTACTAGGGAAATCACTTACCAGGGATAATGCTGTAAATTTTGAGCTCTGAAGATCAGGTATTACAAAGCTACACTTGCTCTAAATTCCGTCAAGAATCCCATCAATCGCCTGAAAGATGTTAGATGCTACAGTCTCATCGTCTGTTACAATAGCAGTACCCATCTCTGAGGTCTCTATCATTCCACTGCTAGGATTTGTTATATGGATTATATTCAGCACTCGCCTTCCTTACCTCGTCTTAAGGTCAACCCGCTTATAGAGTAAGTAAGCATGAATAAGAGACCTGTAAGAATGTGAAGAAGGTCTCAAGCCTACTTTCTTCATCAAAAGAAAGCATCAGCGGCCATATCACTCGCCTTCTTCGTCCTCCCGTGCACACTAATCAAATGACAATGTAAACCAGTGAGTACTCCACTAAGTATTTCAAAATCAATGAATTTTTAGATATTTTTTGTTTATTTGTCTCAGATGATTGCATATCGAAATTGAATCATTCAAAATGTTATCTACCAATGGAGTCCAACCGGACTGTAATATCAGCAAACTGTCTCTTGAATCAACACAACAAACATTTTTTTTTTTTTTTTTTGCAGGACTCATTGCAGCATCTTGTGGTGAGCTAGACACAATCATGAATCCAGCTTCTGTTCATCAACATTTGATTAGTAACGGTCCAAAAAGCTTTTTTTTGCTAATGGAACCTCCAAGAAAGCTCCCAATGGCGTGGCTGATGTGAGATACAATAACGGATACTGCAACGGCCTCTATACTAGATAGCTGCTGCTGCTGCAGACTCTCTCACCTCTTTCTCTCTGCATTAGAACTGCTTCATTTGGATTTTGGTTTGTTTTTCCCTTTTATAAACTTAGGGGCTTTCTTCTGTACATATGATTCAAGTTAATCAGATCTTTAGACTCTTTAAAATAGAATCTATGTTCTGTAAAGACTCTGGAAACTTCTGAAAATCTACTCTATTAAAATAGAGTCATTTTTTTTTATCTATTGATACAAATTGTCATTTAAATTTGGACTCTTTCTAGAGTGTTACAAATAATACAAGTCATATATAGTTAATTGAACCGCATTACTTAAATTAAACCGATGGTTATTTATGAGATATAATCTTGGACTTACTTTTGTTTTTAGAACAAATTATATGGTTTGGTTTTTGGGCTTAGTAAAAGGAAAAACTCCCAAAACATTGAATAAACTTTCCACCTTAATGGATCAAAAAATCAGTTATTATTTTCAAGCCCAAAAGTGATTTAATATTTTTAAACAAAACAAAATTGTCTATTATTAATCATTTATTTAAATCATGTACTTTAAAACATGCTAATGTATTTATTTTATTTTAAATAACAATCACTTTGTTTTGATAAATTTCAATGGTAACTTTTAAATAATTTATTGTTTTATTTCTCTTAAATAATTTACTTATTTAAACAAAAATGTAAAGCAAAACCAAAAACCAAATCTAAAAACTAAAATTTAAAACCAAAAACTGAAAAACATGTTATACTTTTTTGCTTTTATTTATTTACAATATAAACTATTGCAAATTTCTTTTAAAATAATTTTGTTATCTTTTCAGTTTTAAATGAGATGTTCGATTATTTGGGATTTGTTTGTTAGTAATATCAGTTCAAACTAACTCAGCGTGTCTAAAAATTAAAAACCCAAACCAAAAGCTGAAAATCAAAAATAAAACTTAAAAACTAAAAACCAAAAACCTAAATCTAAAAATAAAAACTGAAACTAAAAACTAATGAATAACAATCATTTGGTGAACTGATTTTATCCCAAAACATTCTTTAAATTAAGACAAACCCCAATTACATAAATTTGTAATCATAAAAAAATTCCGCGCTTTTCAAGCGCGGATCAAAATCTAATTGTAGTTAAATGAGAGAATATTATATGTTGACCAATTATGTGATTTTAGATCACCTTTTGCGTAGTGTTTTCCATCAGTAGAAACAATTGAATAAAGTTTCATACCCTAGAACACATGCAACTTTAGTTTCTATGCAATGTCTCTCTTCTCTAAATTGTATCACAAGTCATGGCACATACAACCATAAATTTAATTATCTTTTTTAAGAAAATGTGATTTCGTGTTTTTGTATATGGTACCATGGTGGGGGGAAGCAATAATTTTATAAAGTGGATACACTGTTATATTCAGCAGAACCGAAATAACCAAAATAATCTGTAGAAACTCAGATTAATATAGTTATGGGCCTTTAATTGTTAAAATAGATTGGATAATCATAAAAAAAACATTATAACCATTGGTGTTGTTCGGATTAATTATTTATAAATTATTTGCCATTTAATTTAAAAAATAATATTTTACAACTTTCATGTGAACATACTATCTTCTTGTTGGTTGAATGTTACATATAACTGTTTTTCGCATTTTTATGTAACAAAAATATTTTTATTCATTTTCTAAAATACAAAAACTAAATTTAGAGTAAATAAATAATCCGGATGATGTTGAGAAGTTTTTATTAGTTGTATATCTTTGATTATTATCTCATGAGTTGTAGATGGAGGTTTAGCTCTAACTCAGTTAGACCTAAAATGAAGTAATTTCTTTGTTGTTGATTTTTTTTTTCTTACTACTTCTTTTGATATCATGGTATAATATCAATTTTTTTGGTTGAAATTTTTAATAATCTATATTATATCTGATGAAATGGAATCTTTTTACTGGTGTCATGACAATTACGAAGATAATTTTCTTTAAAGACTTTTTCAGGGCTATGCCCGAATTTTTTGTATATATTAAAGAAATTTCAATGTATTTTCTTGTATATATTTGATATATATATTAATCCTGAAGCATTACAATATTTTTTAGTAGTCACGTATTATCGTAAGAATTATTTTCAGAATTATTAAAAAAATAGCACATATATATTATTTTTTTTTGTTAAACTAACTAATTAATTAATTAGTAATTTACAAAATAATATTTTATATAATATCATTTTAAATTTAAATAAAATCCAATTCATTTTATATAGTTAATTTTTAGATTTTGATAGTGATTCTTTTCTGCCAATATTTTGAAGATAAGAAATATAAGACTACATATTAAAATATTACAATAATTATTATGTAAGTTATTTATACCAAAGAATAAATTGAGGGTTCTATTAAAAAAAATAGAAAATCTATATTTTGTAAAAACAGTTGTTCATTATTAGTATTATTTATGAAACTCTTTCTTGCATTAACTACAATGATTTTGTCAATCATTATATTTTTCTATTTAATTTAACATTTTTTTTCCTCTGTTTTTAATTATAAGTTTAGATATACAATGTATTATATATATAAATAATATGATTGGAAATTTTGTTTAACTGACTAGCCGCGCATAGCGCGGCCAAAGATCTAGTTTTTTTAAAATGATTGTTTTACTAGATGATCTCCATCTTCCTCTTTTATTACTGGACGAAATTACTAAGCTAATGTAGGGTTATAATCGTAAAAGTAATTGTATGGTTTTTGTTTGGTCATAACAAAATTGTTGTGAGTTAATTACCATGTTGGACTAGCTCTGGACAAGTGATCCCGGAGAAAGTATAATATGGTATACGAAATACCATTGCCACTAAAAACAAATGAGCATAGACTATATATGTAGGTAGTCCAAAATCAAATATACTATTAAAGACCACAGTTCAAAGAGTTAAGGAAATCCTCAGTGTGACTCAAACGAATCTACAAAGAAAGTTATATTTTCTCACGACACCAGGAATACCTTTACGTTGGACAAATAATTAATTAAACATTTGATAGTAACATAAATCACAGGTGTTTAGATGGTACCTGTACTCTGACATCTTGGTATATAAGACTGTTAGTTAAAGGGTTAAAATATTAACTGATGCATTGAAGCATGTATTTATCTTGTAAGCAATGCACTCTTTTCTTAAAAACTACATGTCTATGCATGTGTGTATATAAAGTAGCTCAAATGTGGATGGAAGACGATACAACTCATCAAGAAAAGGAAAATAAATAAAATAAGATAGAGAAATCGTAGATGAATGCCATGAAAACTTTTGTGCTTCTGATCTTTGTGGGAGTTGTGTGTGCCAATGTTGGCGCTAGGCAGCTCGAAGAAGTATCCAAGGAGACAAAGTTAGGCATTTCTATTCCCAAAACTGTCACTGCCAACGGCTTAGGAGCTGAGCTTGGCATCGTTACTGCTACAACTTATGCCAGCAATTATGAAAATGCCAATGCTGCTGCTGCTGCAGGTCCTGGCGGTCCCAGCGCAGATACATCTGCAACTGTCGCTAAAAGTACTTATGGAGTTGCCGTTGCAGAAGGTCCCAACGCAAACGCTGGTTCTAACAGTAACGCTTACGGTGACGCCGGTGCTGGTGCTGCAGCGGGTCCCAATGGAGCGGGGAGCAGTGGATACGCTAACGGATATGCAGGCAGCAATTCTTATGGCAACACCCCTAACTCTTGAGCGCATGGTGATCATGCTCAAGTCTCTGCGTATATTAAAAAAAAAGTTACTTCTACAAACCCATCACAATCTCTTTTGTATTCATAAATAAAACTAGAGATTGTCACCTTTATTAATTATGATATAGTGTAAATGCTCTCTATGTGTAATGTCTATTGTATATGAAATAAATATGATAACAAAATATACGACCTTATTTCGTTTGATGCACGCATGATGTCGCCAGTCGCCCTCGGCTAATTCAAATCCAATCATAATGTTCCGGCTAATTAGCGGGATCACGGGTTTGGTTGAACAATCTCATGTTGTATAACAGAAAATACTTTCTTGAATACCATCGTACGTACAATGTTCAGACTTACCGTCGCATAACAGTTTTACAGAAGTGTAGACAGTGATCTGTAAGTCTTCAAGTAGTTGGTGTAACAAAGCGATTCACAAGTAGCATGAGCCATGCTCCTGTATTCGGCTTCATTGCCACTCCTATTCACGTTTTTTTTTTTTTTTTTAACTTCAAGCTGATCAGACACTTGCAAAGATAAACAAAAATCCAGTGATTGAGTGGTAGGAGTCAAAACAAGTATCCCAATCTGCAAAGGCATATAAACACATCTCTAAATCAGCTGAATAGCAATGTTCTGGATTCAGTTTAATGTATAGTATAACCGGATGAGCAGCCTGAAGTAATTGACAGCAAAGGTGATACCAGCTCTAGTGATTGTGAGGGAGAGTAGACGTCCAATCAAATGAATTGTTGGATCCATTGGAACATAAGAAGGCTAATATAAGCAACATTCCAATCCATACAAAGATATGCTAAGATGACAATCATGATTGGGCGGTAGAGGAGCATCATCTGAAAAAGTTTAACCTTGAGGTAAAGTCATAGATTAGTGACATCTAATTGAAAGTGTACATCCGAAACAAGAAGCAAGACAGCCACTGGTGAGGCAGTGTCAATATAGTTCATTCCTTCTTGATGAGTATAACCTACCAGACTTGTTTTTATATCTAGCTATAAAACCATAAGAACTATATTTTATAGAAAACATCCACTTACAACCAATGACATGCCGTAGGAAGTGACTCGATACTCCAAGTTTGTTTGTGCTCGAGAGCAGTAATCTCCACATCCGTAGCATTGGTCCATAAGGGATTCTTCATGGCTTGCTTAAAAATATGTGGTTAAGTTTCAATCGTGCATGAAGGAACAAGACTCATAGGATGGGTTTGAGTTTAGAGAAAGCAAGGACATAAGATAAAATAAATGGGACTGTAGAAGAAAAAGATTCTGATATATGTGGTGTAAGTGGAAAAGAAGTGTGAATTAGATAGCAATGGTAATCAGAAAGTCAACATGGTACTTCAGTATGTCGTTTTAGCCAAGCATTATGATCAGTGAAACTTGTCACCCATCTAAAGAAACAGTTTTTTGTTGTTGTGAGGAACTAGCTAGGTGATGGTTCAGGTCGCGAGGAAAATGGATCAAACACTTGTGGAGAATGTGTCAGAATGAAGGGATCAAGTGCAACTGGAGTAGACACGAGAAATATAGATGGACAAAAGAAATCATGCGTAGGAAGAGAAGATGCATCATTTTAAAATGGAAATATCATGTCATGGAAGACTACATTCCTTGAAACATATATAGCACAAACTGTTGGAAGAAATTGTTTCTTCTTGATAACACACAAAAGTTTCACTTATGAAGGAGAAAGAATGTAGGTTTCGTTAATGTGTGCTGTGTTTTTATGAAGAGAAAACAAAGTATTTACAGAAAACTTATTTGTATTGCACTGAATGAATTAGAAGATTGTTGTCTTTACATCACAGCAATGACGTTTGAATAGAATAACAACAGACACGACTTTACATTTAGAAAGACACGACTTTACGTTTAGAAAGATATGACTCTTCTCTAAGCAACTGTGACTGTTGATGTGTAACTTAACTTAATACAAATCAACATTACTAATATGACTAACTATACTAAAGCTTATAAAATTAGAAACTCAATTATATTTAACACTTCTCCTTAATTGCGTTTCTCTTTGACTCCAAGCTTGTCTTGCAACTCCCCAAATCTTGTTGGTGTACAATTACTTGGTTTGGAATGTTCTTCATTTGCAAGTAACACATTAACCTCCGAATCCATCTAAATGGAAAAATCTTGTTCTTCATCTTAATATTCAATATCCTTCTTCCTTGAGGATCATCTATGAAACACTGATTGGCTTTAAATAGACTCCATACCCATTTGATACCATTTGTGAAACACTTAACATATTCTTTGCTAAGTCAGGCATTAGAAACACATTTTTGTTGATATTCTCTCCTTGGCTTGTCATTACTTAGATATTTCCTTTTTCCTGCCATGATTACTCATTGACCGTTCCCCACTTTGATTGGTATTTTGATACTCTTATCAAGAGTGATAAAGTATGAAACTTCCTTGGTCATGTGATTAGTACATCCGCTGTCAACTAACCATGTTTCATCATCTCCTCTTGATGATGTTTTTTCTTCAACTGCACTAAACATCATGTGACTCTCATCGTTTGAGCCATCTTTTGTTTTTTCAATACTTAGATCTGCTCTCTCGGTCTTTCTAAGTTTGCAGTTCTTTGCTAGATGTCCCGGTTTGTTACAAACGAAACACTTCCTCTCATTGTTTACAACTTCTTGTGAATAGGTTTTCCGGCTTCTTATTTTCTTTGACCAGCATTCACTTTCATTGTGATTGTTTCTTTTGCAAACACCACACCATTTATCGATCTTCTTGTGATGTTTGTCTTCACTTTTATTTCTTCCTTTTGAAACAAAAACTTTCTCCATAGAACTCTCCTTCCGTCAATCGTTCTCGGAGACTTAAGAGCTTCTCATGCGCTTTCAAAGTACCTATTAACTCTGTAACTGATAGTGCAGTAAAATCTTTAGTTTGTTCCATTACGGCCACAATACTATCAAACCTCTTGGAAATGTAATAAGAATTTTTTGCACTATCTGATAATCTGACTTATCTTCTCCATGAATTCGAAGTTGATTTCCCATATCAATTAACTTTGTAGTGAAAATATTGATGCTGTCACTTTCACTTCTCTTCAAATTCTCATACTCTCTTCTAAGAGATTGAAGATTAATTATTTTCACTTGAGAACTCCCTTGAAACACCATCTCTAATGCATCCTTTGAACTTGTTGCGGGAGCAAGGCTTGGAAAAATAACATCTATTAAATTTCTGTTTGGAGTATTTGCAATGCCGTCATATCTTTCATAACTTAATCATCTCTCTCTCTCTCTCTGGTTATTGCTGGTGTGTTTTCAGAAGAAAAACTCAAACTAACTCCATTCTCAATCACATCCCAAAGCTTTTTAGTCTTTAGGATTGTCTTCATTTTGATCTTCCAAAAATTGTATGTTTCTCCATTGAAGACTATTTGATATGTTGTTGTCTCCATATCTCTGTCAGCAATTCTATGATCGCAATTGTGTTTTCTCCATTAAATAATCTTTTCCTATTATCTAATATATTATTTTCCTATATTTTAGCATCATAAATCTTCTAATTTCGTCAACCAAACATATAGAAATATTCCACATCACCGCATCTTGATGATTTCTTTTTTATTCTCCGAAACGTGTGTGTCACACCATTCCCTGTGTGTAACACAAGTACGCGAACCAAAACTCCACCACTGCAGCAACTTCTCAAGCTCCAAGTTCTTGAGCTTACATTCTCCCCCTTTTTCACTGTGTTTTACAACTCAAGCTCACTAACCTCTAAGCATAATATGCATCATACATCCCATCAAACTAAATTTCAAACTCTCCCTGAAATCAAGTATCATCTCCCCCTGCTTGAGTGAAAAACTCTGTGAAAACTTCATGATACTTGTTGGACATCCAAAAGCTCTCAATACCTCCTAGACCATCGAATTGGTTTTTCAAGCTCAGTATATTGATCATCCATTCGAGTGTATGACACACTGGTATGCTCGTGTGACACACATTTCATAAACTTAGGATACAGATCCTTCTTAGCTATCCATACATATCCATACCTTCTGGGTTCTCTCTCAATCTGGTTTCTCTGAGAACAACAGAACACAACTTTATGACCATGATTCCCAAAAAACAAACATCAATTCCTCCGAGTTATTGCAGGTTTGAGAGGGTGAACTTTTGTTTGAACCTTATGTTCCTTTTTCACAGGTGCAGATGTAAGAATTTTCTCAACTTTTGAGCTACTTTCAGGGTGAGAGGCAGTACCTTTTTCAAAGTTGATAACATTGACTGGACGAACTTGATTTTTTGGAGGACCACCCTTGTAGGCCTGCTCAGAGATTATCTTCTGTAGACTCTGTAGATTAGACTCCTTCTCTTCTTTTGACATCTCAATCTCTGCTTTATTGTTGTTTTGGACTCTAGAATGTTCCATTGTGCTTCCAGCCTTGCTTTATGTTTGATCAGCTGCATATTTCTTCACTGATTTTAGCAAATTGACCAAAGAGAACCTGATACTCAACAAAAAGATCTGCATTTAAATCACTTTTTGTATCACTGTGTGACGCATCAGAATTGGTGTGTGACACAGACGTCACACGATTTTCACCTTTAGTGATGTCTTTTTCAGACCCTACAACTCCATGAAGAGCCACAAAGTTCTGAGCATCTTCCTCTCCTTCTGACTTTTTATCACTGCAACTTCTCTTCATCTTCTTTGTGTTCACACAATCTGATTTTATGTGCTGATAACCATTACATCCATTACACCTGATTTCTTTTCTCTTGAATGATGGACAATCTGTTTTGACATGTCCAATACCATGACAATTATAACACATCACTTCCTGCTTTTTATGTCTTTCTTCTTCTCTAGGCAGTTTACTGTTGGACATCTTATACAAAAGATCCATGGTTTCTTCAAGTTTCTGAATCATTAGGTGAATAGATTCTTCAAGTTTTTGAGCTCTTTGGATGTCTTCCCCATCAACTAAAAT